CGGAGAGGGCAAGTACAAATATTTACCAAGTTATCAATATTATCAAAAGTCCTCCCTGCTATATAATTACCCAACCGTTAAAAAAAACCGAACCGAAGAATGTTATTTAGTAGAAGGATTTTTTGATGTCATTAGTTTACACAAGTTAGGGGTAGAAAACTGTTTGGCCTTGCTAGGAACTAACTTGTCAGAAGCACAAACTAAACTGCTAATCGAGTTAAAGAAGCGAATTATTCTCTTTTTAGACAGCGATAAAGCCGGACAGGAAGCCACCGTCAATGCGGCTGTGAAATTACTGTTAAAGGAAGTTGATTGTGAAGTAATAAAGAGTAATTATGAGGGTGACCCAGATGAGATTTGCCAACAACAAAATAAAGAAAGTATTCAAAATATACTCCAAACCCGAGAAAACCCCTATTTATTTGTCCTAAACCATTATTTTGCCAAATGAGAAGTTGGGAATAATCCTCAAAGAATCAGTCGTTTCGTTAGTGAAATAGCCGAAGTTTTTCGAAAGTTTAAACCTAGTATCTATGACTTCCTAATCGCCAAAATAAGTTCCTTAGTTGGTTGAAAAAAAGAAGAAATAGAGCCTCACTTCATCCATTGAAATTTTCCTTCGTTTCCTCCTCGCTTTTTGCTAATCATCTATGGTCGGAAACTAATTGAACAAAAGGAGAAAAAAATAATTTATTTGTGTGCCAAAGAACGAGTTTTTTGGTTGTTTACTAATGAAAAAGTTAAGTTTTTTTTAACCAAATTTAACCGAACTAGGTACCATGATATCTATAATTATTATATATCTTCCCACTCCCACCATTCTTATTTGGAAAAAAATCCTCTCAGTGAATTCACTAATGTTTCCGGTTTGATTCCTAATCTTTCTTCTTTCGGCAACCAAAAAGGAAAAGTTATTGATGCTACTTTACAAGAATTAAATAATATCAAAAAATTTCTATTAAATTATGAACAGCAACATTTTTTAAAAAAAACAAGAAAATAGTAAATAAATAAAAATAAATTAACTAATGAATAAATATTTTTCTCTTAAACCAAACCAAATAAAAGAACTAGTGGAAGCAGCTAAACCAGTAGTAACAATTTTTTCAGCAATTAATAGTCTGGAAAAAAAGATTAAAGAAAAAGAAAGAAATATAAAAAACAAGAAAGCGGTCGCAGAGGATATTAAAAAACTAAAAATTGAACTGAAAAAAAAAGAGAAAGAACTGAAAAAAATGGGTGAAAAAAAAGTCATTGAAGGTGGTAAAGCTACTCGCTTTCTTCTTCATTACAATAAACACTTTGTTCAGTATCTTGCTAAGGGTTATTCTTCTTTTAACAGAAAAATTGATCCTGAGGAACTGGTCTCCGAAGGTATTTCTTCTTTACCAAAAGCAATTGAAAAGTACAACGCAGACTGTGGCAGCACTCTTCCTACCTATTCCGGACACTGAATTAAACAGTATATCCAAACTTATATTAAAAAAAGTCAATTTATTAATCAAGGCAGCGAAAACAAAGAAAAAAAAAATGTAGTTTATTATGATGATAGTAGTTATCGAAATGATGACAAGGAAAGTAAATCTTATTCATTGCTAGAAACTTTGCATGATGAGGAAAATGTCGAACTGACTGCCGAACAAATACGCCACCGAGATACTGTAATTCAGACTAACAATCTAATCAACACCTTGGAAGATCGAGAAGCGATTTTGCTAATTCGCCTCCTTTCTGGAGTAAAACCCACTAACTTATTAGACATTTATTATTTAGCCAACGAAGAAGAAAAAGGAGAATTAAAAAAAAAAATGAAATTAGGTAACAAATTTAATTCTGAAGTTGCTCTTACTTATGGAACACCAACGGGTCAATTTACTGCCCATGAAATTCATAAGGCTAATGGTGTAGATTATAACCCGTATTGCGAAATATGTAAGCAATAAAAAAAACAACTAGAATGAGAAGAAGTGGTAAACGTGATTGCATTAACCTTTTTCTTTTTACCATCTTCGTTCTCGTTCCATTTTTTTCATTCCAAATATTTGTTATTTGTCCTTGATTATTAAACAATACCAAAATTTCACGTTCTAAAACTTTACTTCACCTTTCTTTTTTTATTTCCATAATGATTGTAGTGCCTTTTTATTTTTTAATTTCTTCTTTAACAAATAGGAAAATAAATAGGAAGAAAAAGAAGGAAAGAAAGTTGTGTAGTAGATGTTGTATCAAAATCCCCCCAGACGAAGAGGTTAAAGTAGAAAAGAACTGGCTTCCTATTTGAGCTAATTGGAGAAGGTCATTAAGAAGAAAGGGGGCAAGTTTTTGCCCTCCTTGTGCTAAAAAAGAAAAAAAATGAAGAAAACAATTTTGAGTGATTTTTTTTGTGCCAATGGCTTTGGTTCTTTTTATTATTTTTTACATAGCGGCATTGTTGAAGTATTAAAAAAAAGAAATTAAGGGATAACAATCGCTCTTCTTAATTGAGAGTTTATCTCCCCCAATAACCAAATCCCTTTTAACCGCAAAAAAGCCTCCTTTTGCGGTTGGGGTTAGTCTAATAATTAAGTTCTTTTAATCAAGTTATCTAAAATTTATTAATGAGATATAAGGATTTATTAAATACTAATGATATCCTTCATTTATTAACTAAACAATTAAATCTTAATTTAAAACAAGTGGGAAGGAGTGTTTTTTTCCTTTGTCCCTTTCATAGTGATAAAAACCCCAGTTGTAGTTTTGAACCTAACCGCAAAATATTTACGTGCTTTACTTGTGGCTTTAAGGCGAGCGATGTCTTTAACTTTTGGGCTCAGTATCAAAAAATTACCTTGGAAGCAGCGGCAGAAGAAATCAGTAAAATGGGTTACTTTTCCTCCTCAATTCTTCAAGAAAAGAAAAAGCAAGAGCAAAGAGAAAAAAATAAAACCTTTTATCTCCTTTCTCTAATAACTGACATTTACCAGCATAACTTACTTACCCAACCGGGTCGGGAAGTATTGAAATATCTCCAAATGAAGCGTCAATTAGACCAAAAAACGATTGACCATTTTGGCTTGGGAGGCAGCATTAGCAATTGACAACTAAGTAATTTACTTTTTCCTCAAAAAAATGATAATTTTTCTGCCGAGGATTTATTAGCCACTAACCTAGTCTTAGTAACTGAGAATAACCGAGTTTGCGACTTTTTCCCAACCCAGCATTTAATTATCCCCTTGACCAATTCCGAAAGCAAAATAGTAGCTTTTGCAGCTCGAAAAATTGGTGAAATACCAACCGGAGAGGGCAAGTACAAATATTTACCAAGTTATCAATATTATCAAAAGTCCTC